CGCGAAGAGCCGCGGAGCGTCACCGTTTAACGGGCGTTACGGCTGTGTCTGGCCAGGGGGGCTCGCAGGACTCCCCGAGGAGGCTGCGCGTTTGGTAAGCAGTCAGGCTGCCGCAGTCTCGTGCGTTTGGTAAAGAGGATGCGTTTCTCGGAAAATGTCCTCTTCAAAATTCCTCGTCCGCGCTAATCTGTTTTGCGAATGGAAAATTAAATTCAGTGTCATTTCAATTAAAACTTACTCACTGGGTTAAAAAAAAAATCATGCAAGATATCTACAGGAGGGAAACATCAAGTATGTTCTCTATTTAAAAACTTAAAAATTCCTGACATTAAAAAGTATAGGTAGTTAGCAACTAGAAGTGGAAAGACTTCTGGTTATCTCGGCCCTACAGTATATCTCAGCATTACAAACCAGTTCTATGGATTAAATTGAAAAAAGAAAACATTTTTTTTCTGACTTTAAATTCCTAAACCGTTCTTTGTCTGTGACTAGACTAGATATTGAGCTAATGTGAAGAAATTATTTCTTCAAATTTTTTGATAGCTGCTGACATAGCTGGTTTAGTAGGTCAACTACTTCCATTTCAATTTTTTTTTCTTCTCTCCCACTGATTTGAATTTCCTTAAAATTTCGGTGACCAAGCCTATTCTAAATATAGTTGCTTCTGTATTTCAGTATTTTAGTCAGGCCTTATCGTAGATCGATGTCTTTCAAATTACTTTTATTTTTGTGAAGAAAAATGCCTATGTGAGTTTGCCTGTCTTGTGTATTTAAAAATATGTATTTTTCATAAGAAACTGATTTTTTCCAGTAATGTTGAATCTTGCCCAAAGGCCAGTTCAGAACTCCTTTTGCAGCTGGGACGCTTGTTTTGTTTGCATCTCTTTCTCCCCCGATGTATTTGGCTATCAGCTTTTGTGAAGCTTTGCAGCGTTTATCTATTCTGCTCTGCGTTCCTAAATCTACCTGAAGTTCGACAGAAGGTTCAAAAACTACTGGTAGGAAAAAGTCTGCGTAGAGATGTGTACACTGTACTGTTGCATAAATGTTTTACTTTTGCTAAAAAACTAGATCTGAGGTTTCCAAACAAGTTTGTCTTCAAGTCCATTTATTTGCCTTCTACAGATTTGAGAGCACTTTAGCACCTCCCTTGGGGTGCTTTCCTCTTTCTCCAGTTGGCTCTAGCAAGCATCATGAGGTTTCTAAGTCGTTTGACCATACCTTTTGATGCCTCCGAAGAAGAAATGCACCCACAAGGCCGGGAAGGCAGAGCTGGTATTCCTTGAGAGGCCGCGAGAGGGACCCGTCCATTCCTATGAAGCTCCGCCACCTTCGGCCGAGAATCCGAGACGTGTTCCTAGGAAACCTGTAGACCAGGCCACCTCTGCTGCCTGGGTTGGTATAGATTATCCTTCCCCCTGCGTCCCACAGCAACGGTTTTCAAATTTCTCCCCTATGCCTCAACAGAAAGCTATCTATCTGTCCTGGATACTGAAAATCAGTAGCACAGACCTGAATTCGCTGTCGCTGCCTCAAGCAGAGATAAGTGCTTGGAGCTGCTTCACGTTCTAACTACGACCACTAAGGTCTTGGTTATTTGAAGGCATAGAACTGTGTGCAGCGTGTACTGATTATTTGTCTTCTGAAAAACTAATTCTCATCAGGAAAACACTGTTTTCTATGGCAACTGAAAACCCTGCACATAATAAACATTAGGAAGAATTGTTTTACTGGCTTGCTGCTTGAAATAACTGCTGAACTCTAAATGTTACACATTAAAGTACCAGGTGTTTTGTTTAAATCTGACACTACTAAGTTTAGAGAACATAGGCTTTCACTTCAGGATTATTTGTTCTAACCTGCCCTCTTTTCCATTCTGTGTTTTGAATAGTTTCTCTCCGTATCATTCTTCTTATGGGCTCCTTTTCTGGTCTGAAAAAATATTCCGGGGACTGTTTGCAGTGTCCCAGGATACTCCTTATATCATGTAACGTAAAGATTTTTTTTTTTTTTAAGCAAACAGGTGCTGCAAAGACAGACTGTTCCTATACAACAATAGTCATCACCTAGGGGAGCTCTGTTTCAGCATTATTATTTCTGCTTGACTCTCTGGTCTTCACAAAGCAGGCTCAGGAAGCGTGGTTTCAAACCTGCATGAAACATTCCTTTGTTCTTGGTGACCTGGAGTTATTTTTGTGATGCCTTAACCTTGAAGTAGAACATATTCAATTTTTTCCTCTTTAATTTTTTTTTATATCCTTGAGGCAGTTAGTGTTTCAGAAGCCATAGTGCTAAGTAAAATAACTGCTGTGAATAAGGATTCTTTTTGCTTGGAAGAGGTGGAAATATCCACACTGGTACTTCGCTCTTTGATTCCAAACATACAGTGATTATAAAATTGGTTTGAAGCTATCAGCACTGAAACTGTTAGGTATCTTTCCATTTGAAAATCCTGGTAGGTTTGTAACTTCTTGAAGCATTCTCTGCAGAGTTTCTGTCAACTCGTTCAGTGGCAACTGATTTTCTGCTCTTCTCTTCTTGATGTTATTATCTAAGTTTTTCATACCCTCTTGGCTGCTAGGCTCCTGCACTGGTAAAGCCTACCCTACATGTTCCCTGAACTCTTTGTGAGGATGTGCCAGGATACAATCATCAGGGAATCATTTCTCTCTTTTCCTGCACAAAGGCTTTACATTCAAACAGTTCAGTTGTACAGCAGACAATCACTACCCTTAATTAAATTGCACTTAGTTTTTTGAGGGACTGTGTAGTAACTTAGGAATGCTGAAAGGGATCTGTAGTTATTGTAGCTAGAACCCAGTTTGGTGTGCTCTAGGGAAAAGCAAACTGCAAGAAACGGAACCTGACTTTTTTTGTTGATACCCAGGAAGACAAAGAATACCATAATAGAAGGATTTCCATGTTTTGAGTAAAAGTCCAGAATCTTTCAAAGAAATATAGATTGTTGAGCTTTGATCATCTTCTATAGAAAGCTGATTTTAGAAGTGGCTTTTGGGTGATCTGTTACTCCAGAATACAGAGATTAACCATGTTTTGAAGTAAAAAATGTTTGGGGGGAATATTCTGAAAGCCTTATTAACATAATCTAAGGTGATGGAGCTAAGCGGGCATCCTTTAAATCATTTTGTATTGCTCTCAGTTCAACCTGTTCAGGGAGATTGAGGATGTAGTTCACTGAATCTATTCAGAGTTATGCTAAGACACAGAAACCTGGGTTACAGGAGTAGACACCAGTTAGACTTTTCTTTAAAACCCGTATCTTGAGTGCTTTTTAAGTTGCCAGAGAACGGCTCACTTGCACCCCAATCACTTTTCAGAGAAGAGAGGCGGAACATCATGTTGAAGTTCAGAGGGATCTCCTTAGCAGCTCGGTTAGTGACTGATTTGCTTTGCTGCAGACCAGATTACCCACTTAATGAACACACTGAAAAAAGGTGGGATGGGTGGGGGAGTAGAATCAGGTTGGCATTCCTTCATCTGGAGAAAATTGTTGGGTGTTTTCTTATTACTATGTCTTTCCCTTCAGGTGTGCCCACAATTTGAAACAACTAAGTCAGTGGTGTTGAAAGCATGCCAGAAGAAGCACCGTGGTCCTCGCAAACCCCAGAATCAGGATGCCAACCACAGTTTGCTTCATGCAGGAGGAGCTTGTCGAAAAGCTATAGCCTGCAAGTTTCCTCCTTTAACTTTTGAGAATCCAGAAGGATATGCAGTCCACCCCTCGGACCATCCGAATCGCTCTCGGAAGAGCACACAGTGCTCCCTCAGCCAGCCCAAGAAGGGACAGCAGCAAACCCCAACATCCAGGTGAACAGTCCGGCAAACTGTAGAGAAATACCTTTGTCACCTGCTCCCCAGCCTGTGGAGCCAGAATTCTTTAGTCCACCGGATGTAGAGACTCCACAGGTGCCCTCCACGAGGAACTGGAGATGCAGCAGCACTCTGCCCCAAACAAGCAGCCGCACCTGGCATCCAGAAAAAGAGCTGGCATTCGATATTGATCCCTGTGGGAGAGAAGAGCCAGCAGCAGTACTGGTTACAGATACTCCCGAGCACGAGTATGGAGTGAAGGTCACTTGGAGACAGCGGCCTCATCTAATGAAATACCTGCGGGAGAGAGGGAAGCTGAGTGCCACCGACGAACTGGTGAAGGCGAACCCCGAGCTCTCGAGGAGACAGGCCGACGTCTGACTCGGTGGGAGCAGTAACCTTGCAATGTGCAAAGACACCTCCAAACGGACAATGTTACTGCCGAGGAACAGCCAGCTGCGCTACGGCTGGCTCGTCCTCCTGAGAAACGCCGCAACGGCGCGGGGGGTCTCTTCTGGGGGATGGCAGTATGTCGGGCCGGGCTTCCGTGGGGACCGGGGTGGCTCTGAAAAGAGCTTTCTAATCTACGTGGCTTCTTCTGGGGGCTGTTACTCCAGCCCCTGAGGCGGCGGAGG